ATAGTCACTCAAAAAGACAAACCGGTCTCAATTCACTTCAACCAACCAAATCATGACATTTCTGATCTCATTGTCACACCAATAGAAAAGGCTAAGAGCGATTTTGAAACTACAGAAGAAATTAAAACGTTTAGGCTAACAAGAGAAAAATTCTGGATTGACAAATTGAAAACAACAGCCCCCTAGGTTTGAATATTCATACGGCTAGCGCAATAGCCCCATTTGTAGTTTCATTTAGCGCAACAGCAGCAAGTGCATCCAAAATCATCAGAAAACACTATACTGATCTCCAAGAAAATCACCCGAAAATATTCACACAGAAACTTATAATTGCATATTTTAAAAAAAAAAATTTGAACGATATCCCAGCGCACAGTAAATAAGATTAAATAAAACAAGTCTCCATCCTAACCCAAAACAAACCATATATCAAATCCTATCCCTAACCGTTAGTAAATAAAATCAACTAGATATAAGAATCCCTAGCCCTAACCCGGTGATGTGGAACAAACACGATTTTTTTAGAAAATCCAATTCGTAGTAGGAAACACACTAATGTGGCTTTCCCCCGAGAGCCTCAAATTGATTCTTTTTCTTCTTCAGAAACAAAAATACCAGAAGTACCATCCAAGGAAGACCATCAGCGCCACCAACACCAAAAACAGTGAAATCACTTTTGTAAATTAATCTAATGTATTGTATGTATTTTTAATAAAATTAGGAAATATCACGAACTAATTTTTCATCATCCTAGGTCATTGCTTATGTGGAGACTTAACCTCTCCCCCAAATTCTTAAACCTAACCCACAATTGTGTCAAAAAATCATGTGCCCTAACCCTATTTACATGTTGTGACCTTGAACAAAGTCTGCAGTTGGCCTTAATATTTAGACCTAACATGTTTTGACATCGTACAATGAAATGTTAACATGTACACTCCAAAATTCACACCTGTGTGACTTTTGACCAAACATGCAGTTGGCCTTAATATTTAGACCGAACCTCAAAACATGGTGTCTACCTTTGAGATTGCCTTAGACTTATGTGACACTCAAGGTTTACTTTTTTACTGACTGTTAAAGATACATTATGGGAGATTTTTATAGAGAGTTGGCCATTCTTGCTATAACAGTTCAAAAGTAGATGATGAAAGAAGAATATATTGAAAATTTCAGTCAAATTACTTTATTCTGAACATAGTTATCATCGTTGTAATATTTGACTAGAAATGGTAGTGAAATGTGCCTTCGCCTTGGCCGAACGTTTGATTGACAGGCGTTAACTCCACCTACATATCTCGATTATCAAGTAAAGTTTTCAATGGCATGCGGAAACGCTCTACAGCGGCCTCGCTAAGTACACTCTATCATTTAGCCTCGATCTAACTGACGTATTCTCATCAGGGTGCGCCATATTTGAATTTATCAACAACTGAAATCCTATTTAAATCCGAGCTGTAGCCGAGCCATCCGTGGGTCTACAGAGTTGATTTTGGGCTTGTTGTTTAAATAAAGATCTAATTTATAACTTCTATAACATCTGAAGCCTAAATTACGACTTGCAATAATCAGATTTTGCTCTTGCATAATGTATGTTTAACTGGTTTCTTTTTGGAGGGCCAGTGACGAGATGTTCGCTAGAAATAAAGAGGTTTATTTCTATTTCCAGTTGAAACCATTGTTTTTTTCTTTCTTATTTCCTCACTGTTTTTTATTGCATATTTATCCCCAGCTTTCTATCATTTCAGGTGCCAGGGTAATGTTTCATAGAGTGGAATGATTGACCTCAACACAAGTATTAAAAAAAAGAAGCAAAACAAGTGAGATAAATGTGCATTTCATACACTTTACGAAGTACATCCAACCTGATCCCCACTTCTGCTCACTAATAGTAATGGTCTGGTACTGCACAGGCTTGTCTTCTCCCCTTGGCATGTAACTGACTGACAGAATTCCACATTTTGACCATTTTCTGGATGTCAATGATCCGTTTCCTTGGATAGTATTCGCCCCAGAATTCTCATTCTCATCCAAATTTAATATTTCAGGTCTACATCTCAAAACCTGATGACTTCCTGGACTGGCTTTAGTAGAACGATGATGCATATCAATTTCATCCCTGATCTCTATGACATCTGTGGCGGAAGTGGGGGTCAAATCGTAATCAGTTTGGGTTCCAGCCCCGAGGACCTCTGTAAACTTTGCTTTTTGGTGATGACTTCATTTCCGAGCTTGAAAAGGACGCCCTTGTGTTTATCATGGCCTCTCATATTGGAAGATAACATAAATGACTTGTGTGTTGACGGTTGTGCATATCTCTTGGTCAGGAAAGTTGTAAGCAACACTGGCACTGTAAATCATTTGACAGGCCAGAGTGAACAGGGAGACAGACCTATGATTGGTCAGCAATGTATCAGATTCCATACTGGGGGGTGGGGATGAAAAAACTGTTGTAGTGTTACACAATCAGATTATTTCAACTTAATTATCCTGTGGAAATACAGCTACATGTATATAGGAGATATTTTGAAATTCATAGGCACTGCATGTTTCAACATTTTAGATTTGACCACAATTGGCACTTGAAACTATGTTAACAGAGAAAAACTATGTAGTTTTCGATGAAAGTGTTAAAAGTCTCATATTGAATCATGATTACTGTTTTAAAGTATTTCCGTGTTTGATTTATATTGAATTCATCTCATCTTTTTGAAGAATGCATTTATGTTCAAAAATAAAAATGTTCCGTGGAATTCAAAATTCATGTGCTTTTAAATTATCAGATTCCAAACTGGGGGTGGGGATGAAAAAGCTGTTGTAGTGTTACATAATCAGATTATTTCAACTTACTTATCCTATGGAAATATAGCTTATAGAGGAGATTTTTTAAAATTGATAGGCACTGCATGTTTCAACATCTTAGATTTGACCACAGTTTGGCACTTGAAATGAAACTACGCTAACAGAGAAAAACTGTGTGGTTTTCGATGAAAGTGTGAAAAAGTCTAATATTGCATCATGATTACTGTTTTAAAGTAATTTCGTGTTGGATTTATATTGAATTTATCTCATCTTTTTACAGAATGCATTTATGTTCAAAAATAAAAATGTTCTGTTTAATTCAAAATTCATGTGCTTTTAAATTTTTGTCTGAAATTCCGCAGTTTTCTGATGTATTATAGTGTTTGCAGAATGCCGCACAGCTCATTTGAAAATGCATAGATTTTCATAATCTTTGGTCAGGGCATTGCATATATGTTTGTTTATTAGATAACAACAGATTTGTTTAAACTGCAGAAACATGTGAGGTATATAGGACTAAGACTATTTCATGATGGCAGAAACATGTGAGGTATATGAACACAGATCACCAAATATTCCTATGCTGTCACCCACGAAACAAGGGCCAAAGCTATTTTTAGTCTTCCTCTCCCTTTTCCTTTTTTCCCCTTTTGCATGGCGATTTTTGTTGACTTTTTGGTGTAGAATCGAAGAAAAGGGTCTGAAAATACATTTTCTGCCAGGTTTTGGTGAATATTCATAATTTTGATGCGGAAGGATACAAGAGTTGAGAGGTTGGTTGGGTTGAAATGTTGGGCCTGAAACTGCATGTTTACTTGTCTCTACTTCCAGCTTGTGTATCTCAAGTTTTTCACGAAGAACCTCATACGTGCTTTTGGGCAAGTGGTTGCCACATGTTGCTCCATCTGTGGTAGAACGCGTTCTACCCAACGAAAATTTGGGAAAAAGTTAGAGCCGGTCTAAGATACGAGAATTAACATTGGAGTCAATGGGGGAAATCTTTAGTGATCTGTGGCCATATAGGACTAAGACTAGTAATTAGGTTGAAATGTAAGGCCTGAAATTGCATGTTTACTTGTCTCTACTTCCAGCTTGTGTATCTCAAGTTTTTCATGAAGAACCTCATACGTGCTTTTGGGCAAGTGGTTGCCACATGTTGCTCCATCTGTGGTAGAAAGCGTTCTACCCAACGAAAATTTGGGAAAAAGTTAGAGCCGGTCTAAGATACGAGAATTAACATTGGAGTCAATGGGGAAATCATTAGTGATCTGTGGCCATATAGGACTAAGACTAGTAATTATTTCTCCTTATTTCATGACGGACGAATGTAGTGCGAGTTATAAATGGACTCAGACTAGCAATTATTTGCCCATTGACTTGAATGTAGCTATTTGCTCAACATTCCGTTGGTTTCAATCTTTATGGGCACAATGGGGACCACATTTGGCAATATCCTCATCATAAATTTGTAGGGGGTTGACCATTTAGATTTTTGCTACGGGGATTTGATGTTGACAGGGGTGAAAATCTCACTTCCGACACAATGATTGCTCTGCAGAAAGACACTTTACACCCCCTATCCCTCCGCTGTAATATCATTAGTATTACCCAAAACTGCTATGAAATTGCAAATTTGATCCCTTTTCTCCAATTCTAGACCAAAAAGTCAACTCAAAAGTGCTGGAAGAAGGGAGAGAAAAAATTAAGGGAAAAATTGTCTATATATAACTCGCACTACATTCGTCCGTCATGAAATAAGGAGAAATAATTACTAGTCTTAGTCCTATATGGCCACAGATCACTTATGATTTCCCCATTGACTCCAATGTTAATTCTCGTATCTTAGACCGGCTCTAACTTTTTCCCAAATTTTCGTTGGGTAGAACGCTTTCTACCACAGATGGAGCAACATGTGGCAACCACTTGCCCAAAAGCACGTATGAGGTTCTTCATGAAAAACTTGAGATACACATAAGGGGAAATAATTACTAGTCTTAATCCTATATATACCTCACATGTTTCTGCAGTTTAAACAAATCTGTTGTTATCTAATAAACAAACATATATGCAATGCCCTGGCCAAAGATTATGAAAATCTATGCATTTTCAGATGAGCTGTGCGGCATTCTGCAAACACTATAATACATCAGAAAACTGCGGAATTTCAGACAGAAATTTAAAAGCACATGAATTTTGAATTGAACAGAACATTTTTATTTTTGAACATAAATGCATTCTGTAAAAAGATGAGATAAATTCAATATAAATCAAACACACAAATACTTTAAAACAGTAATCATGATGCAATATTAGACTTTTTAACACTTTCATCGAAAACCGCATAGTTTTTCTCTGTTAACGTAGTTTCAAGTGCCAAATTGTGGTCAAATCTAAGATTTTGAAACACGTAGTGCCTATCAATTTTAAAATATCTCCTATATAGTTGTATTTCTAAAGGATAAGTAAGTTGAAATAATCTGATTATGTAACACTACAACTACAACAGCTTTTTCATCCCCACCCCCAGTTTGGAATCTGATAATTTAAAAGCACATGATTTTTTAATTCCACAGAACATTTTTATTTTTGAACATAAATGCATTCTTCAAAAAGATGAGATGAATTCAATATAAATCAAACACAAAAATACTTTAAAACGGTAATCATGATGCAATATTAGACTTTTAACACTTTCATCGAAAACCTCACAGTTTTTCTCTGTTAACATAGTTTCAAGTGCCAAATTGTGGTCAAATCTAAGATGTTGAAACATGCAGTGCCTATCAATTTTAAAATAACTCCTATACAACTGTATTTCCACAGGATAAGTAAGTTGAAATAATCTGATTATCTAACACTACAACAGTTTTTTCATCCCCACCCCCCAGTATGGAATCTGATACATTGCTGACCAATCATAGGTCTCCCTGTTCACTCTGGCATGTCAAATGATTTACAATGGCGATGGTGCCTACAACTTCCCTGACCAAGAGATATGCACAACCGTCAACACGCAAGCCATTTATGTTATCTTCCAATATGAGAAATATGATATGATAAACACAAGGGTGTCCTTTTTAAGCTCGGAAACAAAGTCATCACCAAAAAGCAGAGTTTACAGAGGTTTTTGGCTGGAACCCAAACTGATTACGATTTGCCCTCCACATCCATCACAGGTGTCATAGAGATCAGGGATGAAATTGATATGCATCATCGTTCTACTAAAGCCTGTCCAGGAAGTCATCGGGTTTTGAGATGTAGACCTGAAATGTTAAATTTGGATGAGAATGAGAATTCTGGGGCGAATACTATCCGAGAAACGGATCATAGACATCCAGAAAATGGTCAAATGTGGAATTCTGTCATTCAGTTACATGCCAAGGGGAGAAGACAAGCCTGTGCAGTACCAGACCATTACTATTAGTGAGCAGAAGTGGGGATCAGGTTGGATGTACTTCGTCAAAGTGTATGAAATGCACATTTATCTCACCTGTTTTGCTTCTTTTATTTTAATACTTGTGTTGAGGTCAATTATTCCACTCCATGAAACATTACCCTGGCACCTGAAATGATAGAAAGCTGGGGATAAATATGCAATAAAAAACAGTGAGAAAATAAGAAAGAAAAAAAATGGTTTTAACTGGAAATAGAAATAAACCTCTTTATTTCTAGCGAACATCCCGTCACTGGCCCTCCAACAAGAAACCAGTTAACAGTAGGGTGACCCACCATAAATAAATATCTCCATATATCTCCTTATATCTCGACAATTACGCCACAATATTTATATATATGCCAAGCCTCAAATCAGTTTCACACAATTATAGTCACTAAATAAACGATCATGTTGTACTTAATAAGCTATGACCATTAATCATCTATAAATAATAGACTGAAAACTGGTTCCAAGTGTCGTCCATTACATCCAGACACTTTTGAGTAAAAGATAGGTTACGTGCCCTTGTTTTGAAATTAGTCTCGCTTAACCAGTCTATCGACCATTCTACGTCTGATTGACAGGTCGGGATAATCAAGACTACTTTTTTTACGAAACATAACAGAAAGCTAGAACAAGAAATTGAATTTAGAAATAAGCACGTTAGGTAGCTCAACAATCGTTTTAAGAACCTTGTAAAAGTAAAATGAAACTACTGCAAGTATCATGTTCCTGTCTAATCCGAGTGATTCAGAGATATTATTTGTACTAAACCAAAAGATGCCGCTCTTAACGGTACAGTTAATGATAAAGCGATTTAAAAAATGAAACGAACGTAATTTCTAAATCTGCTGTAATAACCAAGAAGCTTAATTTCACTGCTATTCAAAATCGTCAACATTAAATTTTTTACGGCTGTAATAGTTGATAGATTTGTAGAGAATTGCACGTGCCGTGCCATGGCTATTTATAGTATCATATTGTCAGAAAGTTGGTCTCGGCACGGCGAATGTGTACGCTTCAGTGGTAGTCTCGAACTATCAGCGGTGGACTTTATTTCTGTAGAGCACATGGGCCACCCTATTAACAGTCAGTAAAAAAGTAAACCTTGAGTGTCACATAAGTCTAAGCCAATCTCAAAGGTAGACACCATGTTTTGAGGTCCGGTCTAAATATTAAGGCCAACTGCAGGTTTGGTCAAAAGTCACACAGGTGTGAATTTTGGAGTGTACATGTTAACATTTCATTGTAATTGTATGTCAAAACATGTTAGGTCTAAATATTAAGGCAAACTGCAGACTTGGTTCAAGGTCACAACATGTAAATAGGGTTAGGGCACATGATTTTTTTGACAAAATTGTGGGTTTGGGCTAGGGTCAGGACTAGGTCTTGGTTTTGGCCTAGGCTACGTGCTTGTTGACAAGATTGTGGGTTAGGTTTAAGAATTTGGGGGAGAGGTTAAGTCTCCACATAAGCACTGACCTAGGGTGATGAAAAATGAGTTCGTGATATTTCCTAGTTTTATTAAAATACATACAATACATTAGGTTTATATACAAAGGTTATTTAACTGTTATTTGGTGTTGGTGGCGATGATGGTCTTCCTTGGATGGTGCTTCTGGTATTCTGGTATTTTTGTTTCTGAAGAAAAAAAGAATAAATTTGGGGCTCTCGGGGGAGAGCCACATTAGTGTGTTTCCTACTAAGAATTGGATTTAAAAGAAAGGGTTAGGTATTCTTATATCTAGTTGATTTTATTTACTAACGGTAAGGGATAGGATTTGATATATGGTTTGTTTTGGGTGAGGATGGAGACTGGTCTTATTTAATCTAATTTAGGTTCATTTCGATATTGGCGTGTATCGGACTATAACTTCATGAATTATAGCCCTGATTGTACAAAAAAATCACATTTTTAGCTTGTGGACACTCCAGAGGTCACAATTTTGATCACATTTTGATGAAACTTGAAATGCATGTTTATAACCCAAAGATCTTGGTTCCTGTCGATATTCGCTTATATCGGATCTTAACTTCCTGAATTATTGCCCTTGATTGTACAAAAAAATCCCGTTTTTAGCTTGTGGTCCCTCTAGAGGTCACTGTTGTCATCCGATTTATAAAACGTTTGAATGTATCACCGTTAAACCGTAATGTTGGTTGAGTTCGAATTTCGTGAAAATCGGACCAAAACTACCGGACAAAATGGCCACCCCTCGTACGCAAATAGTGTAAAAGTAGTTAGGGCCTGGGTATAGGAACGATGGCGCGCATGCGCAGAAGCCCTAGCAACGGTGTTGCGCATGCGCAGGTCACTTCCTGTGTCCCTAGCAACGGCCACTTCCGGTGATGACGTCATAAGATGACGTCACTTCCGGTGATGACGTCATAAGATGACACCACTACTTCCGGTGATGACGTCACTTCCGGTGATGACGTCACTTCCGAGAGTGCGTCACTTCCGTTTCCGGCGATAACATCACTTTCAGTGATGACGTCATCCATAGCAACGGTCACTTCCGGTGATGACGTCATACGTTAGTGACGTCATACGTGACATGACGTCATAGGGATTTCCCTCGGGGATTTCCTTTTTCTCGGGATTTCTTTCGTCCTTTCTGTGCTTGGGTCTTGGGCCCCATTTTTGGGGGATTCCCTCGCCCTTATCTTGGGGATCACCCTCCGTTTGTTCTCTCGTTCTTTCTTGGGATTGCTCTCGGGGATTCCCCCTTCCTTTGCTCGTTTTCTCTCGAGTTTGCCCGTCGGTATATTCATATATTTAGGGGAAATCCCCAATTAGTGCAGTAATTAATCTATGATATAATCTAGGATATAATCTAGGATATAATCTATAATAGAATTCAGGGATGGGAGAAGGGAACAGTGGTAAATCTATTAAATCTATACTACGGACATTGATTATTCTATACTAAGGGTGTTCCTTGCTAAGGGGAGATATAGATGTAGTCTACATTGATGTAGGAGACAAGTTCTTATAAAGGTTGTTATAAAGTTGTTTTGTTTTTTTATGAAAGGTTCTTATAAACGTTCTTATGAAAGGTTCTTATGAAAGGTTCTTGTAAAGGTTCTTATAAAGATATAAACAAAATAGAATATGAACATTCTTTCTGAATGATTTGGTGGCCCTGAAAAGGGCCGTTTGGGTGGCCTTGAAAAAGGCCGTTGGTGGTTAGACTGTCTAACCGAGGCGTTGACGGACATGCCTCATGGCGTCGTCGTCGTCGTCGTCGTCGTAAATCTTCCGTTTACGGGGTGTTGATGGTGGCGTGGCCGAGTCGGGCTGGTACCACCTCTTCAATGTTTCGATGTCCGTAAAGGGCTCGAAAATATCGGTTGGTGGTGGAGTGGCTGGTCTAACTGGTGTAGAGGAAACGTTCGGCCTGAACGTCTCCTCGTACAACCAACTATACATGTCGTCCGCCATTTCGGTCAGGAATGGGTCGGACACCAACCACTCCTCGTCCCCAAACATCCATTCTTCTTCGCTGTCCTCGTCGTCTCCCTCGTACTGGGTCTCCGTCGTGTGGACTGCTACCGTCTCTTCTTGCCAATCTCCCAATATCATGTCTTCAAACACCTCGAAAGACCCCATGGTGGAATGACAGAAAAGTGCGATCGGTCGGCCTTTTATGCAAAATAACGGGATCGAAATTTCCGAGCCCCCCTCAGCGCGGACTTCATAGAGAGCAACGAGCCCTCCTTCTCAAAAACAGACCCAAGAAAAAAAAATAGGATTGGAAAATAGGATTGAAATCTCCGAACGACGTCAAACGCGGACGTCAAAGTAAGTACGTTTAGCTATAGATGGTTTTTTTGTTTGTTTGTTTAAAATTAAAATAGAACTATTATTAGAATATGAAAAAACTCTTTCTGAATAAGTTGGGTGGCCCTGAAAAGGGCCGTTGGTTGGTTAATCGCCTACCCAAGGCGGATACGCCTAATAAATTCTGCGTCGTCTTCGTCCTGGTACCTGGTATGGGATGGCGTGCTGGTTTGGTGCCAAGTCTTCAGCGTCCAAGTACCAGTAAACGGGTCGTATAAGGGTGTTGATGGTCTCGGTGGAGTGGCCGGTGTATATCCCCAGAATGGATCTTCAGAGAGGACCAGTGGCTCGAAGGGTTGTGCTGGTGTCTGGCCACTGGCCACTAACCACTCGTCGTCGTCGCTATCATCCACGACTATAACATCCGTTGGCTCAAGGGCGATCTCTGTTTCTGGTACAGTTTGTGTTGCACACTCTGGAATGACCAACACCTCTTCCATCACCTCAAACCAGTCTTCTCCGTCCAACATAATATAAGAACCCATGATGGAATGACAGAAAAGCGCGATCAGTCGGCCTTTTATGCAAAATTATAGGATCGAGAAATGGAGTTGGCCCCCCACAGCGCGGACTTCATAGAGAGCAATGATCCCTCCTTAAAAACAGATTTTAAAATAATTTAAAATGTTTTTGAAATGTATACTATATTAGGCGAGAAAATTTAATATATGATCTTAAAATATGGCCACGAATGGGCGAAATAGGATCTTATTAAGATTTTTGATAGGATTTTTTAATATGATTTTAATATGATTTTTGGTTTTGTTTACTATTTAAAATCAAAATAGAACTTTTACTATTTAAAATCAAAATAGAACTTTTACTATTTAAAATCAAAATAGAATATGAAAACTCTTTCTGAATGAGTTGGTGGTCCTGAAAAGGACCGTTTGGGTGGCCCTGAAAAGGGCCGTTGGATGGCCAATGGCCGGTTTGCCTTACAGTCGAGGGTATAGACTGTAAGGCGGTGGGGGTGGTGGTAGGGGAAGTACCCCATCGGCTTGCAGCCGATAGAGGTCCAACAGTTCCTCTCTGTGAGCATCTAGCTCTAAGGCCTCCAGCCGATGAAGCTCACGGCGGGTCTGCCGCAACAATTTTTGGAGGTACCCTCGCTCCTCCAAAAACCGTTGCCGCTCGGCCTGCCATGCCGCTTTCTCGGCCTCCCATGCCGACCTCTCGGCACACTGCTCAGAGAGAAGTTGCTGGAACTCCCCTTGCCACTGGCTTGTCAGACGTTTCTCTCTCTTCAGAGAATTACCCATGGTTGAAGTGTTGGGTTTCTCACGCCTATTTGTCCTTTTATCGCGGACCTGTGAGAGAGCCTTGACTTTTTGGACAAAAAACATTTTGTAGTTCTTAGAATTTTACAAGGCAAAAAAAAAAAAGAAATCGCGCGGACTTCACTGTAAGCCTCACTTTAAGCTATAAAAGCTATAAAAGTAGGCCTATACTTAAAATGACGTCATGTTCTATATTGACGTCATCAACCGTGTCTATATAAAGGAGCAAGCGCTTACTGGTTATAGCATTCTACAATGGCGAATACACCAGGCTACACTCTACGTTTAGGACACCAGCGTCGTTCCAGACGTTTTCACACGGAAAGCTTGTATGTCAACGTTGATTTTCATCAGAATTGGGACCAAATTTCACCAGTGGACGTTCCAGAAGTTTTATATGATACCTTTGACAACATATTAAATGATCTGGGAAATTTGGTTGGCTGTCAACCCAACGACTTTGTACGATTTAGTGTATCGCATCCGGGACTCAAGACGTCGGCATGGATACCATTTCAACCGTGGCAAGATGTCAGACCAAATCACATATTGGATCCGTTGGCCCGAATATTACAATCCAACGAAGAATTTAAGATGGACGAACGCCTGAGACTACATGTGTGTCACGTAGCCCCGCCTAATGGATCCGGAAGTGGACAGCCTATTATCAAAAAGAAAGACATGAGTTCCTTTGAAGACTACTTGAAACGGAAGAGAGCCATCGTGGTGATTAAAAATCGGGACCAGCTCTGTTTCCAACGTGCTTTGGTGGTGGCCAAACACTATG